CATGCTCCTATACATAAATCAGCCGGAGCGAGGCGAGGCAGGCGGTTTGTTTTCTTCCTTTTTTTAATAGACAAAGTAGGTTACAAACGCATTGTAATGGAGCGAAAAAACAGATGACTGCAGCCCCTGGTGGTTAATCATTTCCTTATCTTGTCTTAGAAAGTGAGATGCAATACAGCAGCTAAGCAAAGACTCATATGTGGAGGGGGGTGCAGTGTATGGTGAGCACAAGACAACGGACACAAACAGATGTAGTGGGGATGAATCCGGCGATGGATACAAAAAAAAGGCTCCTGTGGGTCGGAAGAGAAGGCTGTGATGAGGATGGGGATGACGGATATCTTAAAAAAAACGGAGAGGAGGACAGGGCATGCCTGCGCCTCCTCTTCTTCCTCGAGGACACAGTGTGACATGAGAGACGGCCGATGGATGCGAACACATGAGGATGAGACACAAGCAGCACAGCAATAAATTAAATCAGAAACGTTACCATACTGCTTTAATCCAATTTTTGCAGTGCCATTGCAAGTCTGTGTTCGAGGCCCATCCTTCTCCTCCTCCCTCCTCCTCCCCCTGTGCTCACCGAGGAGGAGCCCCCCTCCTCAAATATCCTCACCCCCAGCCGCTGTCTGGCTGACTATCACCTCTCTGGATCCTAACGCTCCATTGTTAGAGCAAACATCGATATCTGCAGCCTCCCTCTCTCCAATGCTCTGGTCTATGCCTCCCTCCCTCCCTCCTCTCCTTTGTGTACTCCCTCCGCCTCCCCCTGCCTCTCTTACCTCTCTCTCTCTCTCTCTCACTCCCTCCCCCTCATCCTCTCTCTTCTCTCTCTCTCTCTCTCCTCTCTCTCCACTCAATCTCTTCTCTCTCTCTCTCTCTCTCTCTCTCTCTCTCTCGTCTCTCTCTTCTCTACTCATCTCTCTCTCTCCTAAATCTTCTCTCTTCTCTCGTGCTTCTCATCTCTCTCTCTCTCTCTCTCTCTCTCTCTGTGTCGTTCAGTCTAAACGCAAATGCTAGCTGTCCTCCTGCCCTATAATGGATGTGGGAGCTAAGGGACAGATGATGGAGGGAGATGAGCGGGGGAGGGGAGAGCTTAGCGCAGGCGTGCAGGTGCCTCAGTGCCAGGGGAGAGAGAGGGGAGGGAAGGGAGGGGGGGGGGGGGGAGCACAGCAGGGCCTGCTCTGGGATGCAGGGAATGAGATGCCAAAGTACATATTTAATGTCTGTCTTATTCAACTTCTTCACAAAGGAGGGAAAAGGTGTCCTGCCTGGGCTGCTGGAAGTTGTATTCAGCAAACTTAAAATATGTGTGTGTGTGTGTGTGTGTGTGTGTGTGTGTGTGTGTGTGTGTGTGTGTGTGTGTGTGTGTGTGTGTGTGTGTGTGTGTGTGTGTGTGTGTGTGAGATACCCACTACACAATCTATCTTCATTTATTAGCATGCATATGTGTCATTCGCTGATTATATTTAGTATTATCAATCCGATTGTTCAAAGTAACTTAAGCTGTCAGGTGTAGAGTAAAAAGTACTTGCTTCGGAGTTGTATTATGAATATAAAGTTCAGGAAATATATACTTAATTACCTGAGAATTGTATTCAAATACAGTTCTTGAGTATATATGAGCGCTTAGTTACCATCCACCAATGATTATTACTGACTTGTTTGTAACAATGTGTCCTATTTTAAAAGATGGTCAAAGACATCTGTAGCTTTCAAGTAAATGTACCGAAGTAAAAATAACAGTCACTATCCTTAAAGGTAGGGTATGTAAGTTTGAGAAACCGGCTCGAGATACACTTTTTGTTATATTCCATGGAATGCTCTTAACATCCCGATAGCAATGAATATCTTAAGTGCTTTGACAAAAAATCCATAAAAAAAATTAATCTGTGGAAGCCATAAAACTGTAAAAAGTACGACCAATCATTTTAGCCGGCCCGGCTAAAATGACTGGATGGCCTACCTGCCTGTCAGCCTTCCATCTGTGCACAAACTTATCTCGTGCCCTCATTGGTTATGTGCGCGTTCGTGTGTGTTGGAGGAGGGGCTCTATAGAGTGGCGAAGTCACGCCCATCTACTTCCGGTCCATGGGACCTTATTTCGGAAGAAAAAAGGATTGAAGTCAATGGAGAGAGAAAACTTATCTTTCGATCCCGTTTGTGCCATGAATTACACATATGTTTGTCAATCTTAAAAAATCATTTCCATGTCAAAAAAGTCAGTTTGTCGTAAAACTGTTGAAATATAAGACTATGAAAAATTCGCAAGTAGAAAGACTACAAATCCCAGAGTCGCGTAAGTGATGTCACAATTGTTTTCCTCCACTAAAGAGATAGCTAAGATCAGCGCCATATAGATAGAATCTATCTAAATGGCGCTGGCTAAGATAAGATAACTTTAACAAGATGCCTGTGTGCTTAGTACCAGGTTGTTATCATACCAGCAATGGGTCTTGCTCGTTCTTTCGCTTCCCGTCTGATGAAAGGACCAGGAGTGTCTGGATCAAGCTAGTTAGTAGCTAGCACGTTAGTTAGCATTACAGCCTTGTCATTTTTATTAGCCTTAACATGAAGTAACATTAAGTAACCCAAAATGTTAAACAGTAAGAGTAGTAGTCATATTTCGTGAACCCTTTGAATAGTACTGTCACCGGTGTGATCATTCTATAATACACAATTTAAGCCCGGGGGAGAAATGCTAACGCAAACGCTAGCATCGGCGATCTTCTCTACTTCATGCTATCTGCACAAATGGTTGACATTAAACATTAAAAAGACCAGGCAGTTCAGAGAGAATCAAAGGAAGGCAGGCAGGCAGCTTTGCATGACATTCTTCAGGACGTGTTTCATTGTGGTGATAGTGAGGGTAGTCAATCGTTTTGTTGACAAGACAGTAGTGACGGCCATCTTGGTGACGTGTGTTGTAGTGATGTGTCGGTCGCGAACGAGCCGGCTCAAGCGCTCTTTTAAGTGAACGACGGGAGCCGGCTCGCGCCCGCGAACAAGCCATTTTTTAGTTTTTGTTATTTTTTATTAAGTAATACAAGACAGAATGATATGATGATCTCCGTGCTACAGCTGCTCCGTGCATGCATGCAGTGGCATGTAATATCCAAGGATTAGAGACTGTTGGATGCTGCTGTTTTGAGCATTGCAATACATTTATTTGTATTATGTTTTTTTATGATTAGAGACGGTTGGATGCTGCTGTACTGAGCATTGCAATATATTTATTTTCACTGTTATTTATTTATGATTATCCTTGGGCTCAGCAAAGATTTGATGTCAGCTGTTGCTGTCTTTTTTTCTATAGTTAATACTGAAATAGAGCCCTGCTGTTTTGTCAGAGCCTTTTCTTTAAATATAATTTTAAAATGTCGATACAGTAGCCCCTTTTTTTAAATGTCTATGCTTAAGTTTTTATAGGTGTTGCTATCTGCTTTGTGTAGCGTGGTTCTACAAGCAAGTCTGTGCATTCATTGGGTGGTATCAGAGAGATACAAGGGTCTGTAAATGCAATGAAAACAATTGGCCACATGCAGCAAATAATTGATATTAAACATGTAATTTTTACTTTTGAATACTTCAGTACAAAGGATGTATTGAATAATTTAAGTGATATGTGTACACATATAAATCATTAGTTAAAACAGGGCTACATTTGATTGAATTATAAAAGGTATAATATGTGGTAAACTGAAGAGCCGTTTGGGAGCCGAAAGAGCCGGCTCTTCTTGGTGAGCCGAGCCAAATGATCCGGCTCACCAAGAAGAGCCGGAATTCCCATCACTAGTGTGTTGCTCTGTGAGACCAGAGATGTAGTTCATTGAGCGTTTCACACAAACAAATGTGTTACTTCACAGTTTTACGACACATTTTTTTTTTTTTTGACTTGCAAAATTATCTTTTAAATTGACAAACATCATATGTGTAATTCGTGGCACAATTCAAACGGGATCGAAAGATAATCTTTCTCTCTCCATTGACTTCAATACATAATTTTTCCGAAATAAGGCCCCATGAAGGTCCACCGGAACGGGAGGGACTTCGCCACTCTATAAGGAAGTGGCAGATTTTCTCCGGTCGTGTATTTTCAAATTCTAGCGATCTCGAGCCGGTTTCTCAAACTTACATACCCTACCTTTAATTGTAGTAAATTAATATCCTTTTAAAGTAGACTACAAATAAATCAAAACATTCATAAAACTTTTATTAGAACATTTTATTGGAACTTTCATAATAATTAAACAAAAACTAAATTAACACAGGTCATAATAAATCACAATAAATAAAGATAGATCTTTTGTTTGTAGCTTTATAACGTATACAAACAATATACAAAGGACCTACAAACAGAAGTGCACTTTGTTCTGACTAATGCTGTTATTCGCTTAGTTTCTTTTTTGAACTGGCAAACATTTCTAAGCTGTCAATTGGTAAGGATTAGCATTACAGTGACTTTGTTTAACACCCTTTCAGATTACCATAGCAGCAGGATATGCCAACAGAGACATAATAACTAAGTGTCAAGAACAAACGTTTGTTTTGAGGCAGATAATAACACGGTGTCTGTTACAAATGCAATATGCTTTCAAATAGAAAAGTATAGCACTTCAGCTTTAGCTTACTAAAAAACATAATTTCTTCTGAGAACACTATCTTTTGATTTCATTTTATGGAGCTTTGAATACAAATACCATAAAAGGCCCTTGATACGGGTGCTGAGGATACATCGCCTACCAGATGTATGTGCAATACTGCAATGTTTTTTTTTATTGCTACTTAACAGTGCTGTATTAAACTCTATAATATCTGATATATATCTAAATAAACGTAAATATAAGGATTTTAAGTCTTCCAAAGACATGGTGCTCTGCTCCTAACCTACTAAATCTGGTGCTGTACACTTGTCAGAGTCCGGAAAGGGCACTTGTGGAGATGTGCTTTGAAAATGTATTGACGTACAGTCAATAGAAGGAATTGAAGAGGACATGATGGCACTTCTATCATTTAAAGCCTAAAGCAAAGCAACTATGTGTACAGGATATCAAAGCTCTTCAAGCAATCACAAGTACATGATGGTAGAAAAAGAAATTACTTTACATCCGGATATAATAAGTAAAAAAATGCATAAAAATGGACTCCTCATGATTCACATTAACAAAAAACATAGTGGAATTTAACAAAGGAGCCAAAGGGCTTCATCTATTCTCTACTATATTCATAAGTTTGCAGATTTGTCATAGCCACTCCTTAAGGATTATAACCGACATGACCTCTGTTCCAAGTGAATACAGTAATGTGTTCATCCATCATACCTCTCACAGGTACAGAGTCTCTACACAGCAGGGACGTGACCGCTTTTTCAGCGCTGTGGGATGCACAGTAGGAAATGTCTTTGGCATGCCCATGATCCAAATGACTATAAATCCACTGATTCCAGAGATTACCGTTAATCTTCTCTGCTCAAATGTCCCCTTCTTGACGTTGGGGAAAAACACCCCCCCCCCCCCCCCCCTCAGATTGGACACAGTACCCTAATTAACCTCATAGTTTTTTAATGTGATGATGACACATAGCTGAGGTCCCTTCTGTTGGTAGAGGATTCCCGGGGTCAGAGCCCTCCTAGGGAGTGGCCGTTTAGAGTCTGTGCAGAGGGTGGATTTCCTGAGTCTAGTAATATGGGATATTGGCACCTCAGCAGAAAACTACACCAAAATCACTCTCCGGATTTGCGTGGCGTCCAAATGAATCTTCTTTTAGACTGGTAGAAATCTGTTTGGATAAAGAACAGAAAACTCAGAAAGTGCATATCCACATCAAATCAAAACCTATTCACACTCTAATTAACATATTACGTTATTAATAACTATAATAAGTACCTGTTATGTTGGTCTGTTTCCTCTTCAGCCCTGTGTCCTCTCGTCTCTCTGGTGTTTTCTCCGGGTGGAGCTCACATCTCTCTGGTGAACAGTGGATGTTCTCCTCCTCACTGTGAGGCTGCCCCACCCTTCCTCTTCCCCGTGGCTTTAGATCTGCCTCTGCTGCTCTCTGACCTTCTGTGTGTCCCAGACCAGGCAGACATGATCTGTAAAGCAGGGGTACCTCGCTGCCTGGGATGCCCTCCCACTGGAACACGCTCTGCTCCAGAGGCTTATCTGAGACGAAGTCAAAGCCCCATCGCTGGCAAGCCTGGTCCAGGTCTCTCCTCAGGGCGGCCTGGTACTCCACCTGCAGCTGCTCTCTGTCCACGGGGCCAAACAGGCTCCTTCGGGCCGGGCTGTTCCCCAGGGCGCTCAGGGTCTGCTTGTGAAGATCCATCGGTATGCACTGTAGAAACAGAGAAATCACTGGTTAGTTGTCTTTTCATTAAAAATGAATCTGCCAGTATGCCAAAACAATTGATTAATTCATTAGCTGTTATCAAATACCTCCGTATCGCGAATGCAACAATATTGTCTGTTTGAAAATTGGTGCTTTTAAAAAATCGAACTAAATTTGTAATAAACAAATATCAGTTATGTTGAAATTATGACTTAGTGGGTAGCGACAAATAATACAAATTTGAAAATAACATCCTTTAACTGTTATACAAACTTTGAAACATGGAAAAGACAATATTGTATTACTAATTCATATATCATCTGGTACCAAATCACAAATTTGATATATTATCACTAATCATTAATAAAAAGCTTAATTTCCACACCAATCAAAAAACAAGACAAAAATAATTAAAATCTTTGATGAAAATCTACCCAAAACAGAAGTTATTTTTGATTGTCTCAATGTAAAAGTAGAAATCCAGCTTACCATGTCTCTAGTCAGTGAGAACTACAGGGACTCTGAGACTACTAATACTGGGCAGCCTTTTATAAGCCAGAGAGCAGCCAGTGACTCATGGAGCCTCCTGTCTGAATCTCTGGTACATGCCTGGACATAATCTCAGGCAGACATGTAAAGGCAAATCCTCAGAGAAGGCACACAGAGCCACCAGCAGGGGTCAGTGTAAGACCCACAAAAAACCTCAATGTGAGGGTCATAGAAGTCAGATTGATGCATTTTATCAGTGCTTTCCACATCTGTATGTTTACAGAGCACTAATATACAAACTATTACAAGTTTAAAGGGGTTAAATAAATGGCACCTTCCTGTAAGAGCTACAGGAAGGAATCAGCTGAGTCTCAGGAGAATAAAAAGTCATTAACTTCCGGGAAGGGCCGGGCAGAGTTTCAGACAACAATCAGGAGAAACCTAGACTGTGTATATAAAGGGAGAAACCAAGCCCAGCCTTATTATCCAGCTAGCAATACAGGGGAGGAGAGGACCTTGCTATTAGAATAAGAATACAATGGGAGACGCTGAATAAAATATATATATTTTTTAAGTATACATATGGAAACTTCCCCAGTTACTCATTCATTTAAATAAATCCTTAACAGTATATGTTTTCAATATGATCCCTGCTAAGTTGATTCATATCATACATATGAATATTTGCACCAAAATTATGAAATGTGACATTTCTCCAGGAACATCTTAGAAACCACATACTAAAATCTAAATTTATAATTTCCAGATTAACCAAAAAACAAACATTCCAATTCCAAAGTTAACCTGTTAACTATTGATATAGATTTGTTTCAAATTTCAGAAATTAAATGAATCTAAATATATGCAGCTTTTGATTTCAGAGTGAAGCAAACTCATAATTTGTCTGTTCTTTATTATAACAGGAATTGGTGTCATATAATCACTATGACAAACAGTGAACAAAACATTTGTATTATATTTTGGGGTTGTTACTATTAATTCCATGTAATAATAAATGTAGGAATCTAGTAGTTTCAAAAAAGTTCAGTTAAAATGTTCATCTTTTACAGTCACAGAAACAGACCCAGGCAGATGTTTACTTAAAGGTGGGGTAGGTAATTTTGGAGAAACCAGCTCGAGTGCGCTAGAATTTGAAAATACACAGCCGGAAAAAATCTGCCACTTCCTAACAGAGCCCCTCCTCCAACACACACGAACGCACACATGACCAATGAGGGCACGAGATAAGTTTGTGCACAGATGGAAGGCTGACAGGCAGGTTGGCTATCCAGTTATTTTAGCCGGGCCAGCTAAAATGATTGGTCGTGCTTTTTACAGTATTATGGCTTCCACAGATGAACTTTTTTTATGGATTTTTTGTCAAAGCACTTAAGATATTCATTGCTATCGGGATGTTAAGAGCATTCCATGGAATATAACAAAAAGTGTATCTCGAGCCGGTTTCTCAAACTTACCTACCCCACCTTTAAAGGGTTCTTGGGCCCTCAAGGGGCACTTTTTTTGTAAAAACGATACTTTTAATATGTTTAAGACTAGAACAGACTTGCTCAAATGGTTCATGTTTGTTTTAACCATAGGCTGGTCCATTTATGAACAGTTGTTTCTATGGACCTGCATGTCTTAACGTTAAATGTGGTGCCTTAATGGACAATATACAATTTGCCAAAAAAATAAATACATCTAATAAGTCCTCTTCGATTTTAGGTGAAACTGTGGGGTGCATTAATGTGAACTGTGAACCACCATGGTCCCCCCGCCCCTTTTTTTCCCCTTCCTCACGGGAACCTACGTCAGAGAGAGCCAGGGGGGGGGGGAGCTTCAACTCTGTGGCGGGAGAATGAGTCCACATGTGCGGCGGAGGCAGAGCAGAGACCCTGCCCACTTTACTACAGTGATCCACGTGAGGCCGGAGCCCGTGGCCACTAGTCGAACTGGACTGTCACTGCCCTTCCCCTTCATGCACATTATACTCACATAACTCGGACAGGAAGCCTGTATGAGTTTTACAAATGTGTACTCAACTTTTAAATTATAAACTAAAATCTTGAGAACTCATATGTAGATATAAACCCCTTTAACTTAAAGTCAATGAGAAGGGGAAGCCATTATTGATGGAAACATATTTTTAAGTAAATATCTCCAATTTATAACTTATGTATTTAGGCTCGAATAAACAGAATTGAGATATGTGTCTGTAGTTGCTTAAAAACTAAAACATCATCAAAGGCTTGAAAACGAACATTTAAAGCATCAGTTTACTTACATTATCAGCTGACTGCAGTCTGGTCCAGGTAAAATCCTTCATATTTCAAACCTGATGAATAAAGCTTGTTTTCTCTGTTTTTCACAACAGATCTGGTGTCAAAACAATCCTGATGCTGATGCTGTTCAGCCCACCACTTCTGATAAATCCGATACGATTAAAGCGAGCGGACGGTACTCCTTGATATTTTCTCAAAGTTTTCTCTGGGTTGTGGGCTAGACTTTTATAAACTCCGGAGGGCGGGGACCCTTCTCTATCCGTACAGGGGCGGGGTCTGCCGGCACACACATGGAATGTTGTCCGGTAAACACACGAACACACGTGAGAGTAGTCAGTAGTAGTAGTAGTGAGGAGGAAACTCCAGCTCAGAACGGTCCAGCATGGCATCTCTTCCTGCCTCTCACTGCGCATGTCAGAGGACCGCTGACTGCTGAAATACCCGGATGAATATTTGTTTCCTTCCTCCCATTTCAGCACATGCACATTTTTCAGTTTCAAATCCCCCCAAAAGAAGTGGAAGAACAACATACAGGGGTTAGTGGGGGGAACACCTTTTACTTTTAGTTGAATACAACAAACAAATAAACAACGTAGGGAGGAATGTTTATCACTTTTACTTTACAGTCTAATGATCAGGTACTTTTAGAAGTACTTTTTTATTCGACTTAATCCTTCATCTACATTACACTTTGGAGGCAGATATGGTACTTTTTACACATTTATTTTTTAGCTCTAGTTTCAGGTTACCTTTCAGTAGAAAACTATTAAAACAAAATATAAATCCACTAATATAAGGATATGTTGTTGTAGGTTCAGCTACCCAACAAGTATGTAGAATAATCTAGGGCTGTCCTCAACTAAATAAATTCTTAGTGGACTAACACTCATCAGTTCTTGTAAAAACGAATCTGTATTTTTTCCTATTGAGGCCATTGTCACAAAACGTTCTGGGCTTGTAGTCTCAACATGTCTGTTACAAGTTTCTTTAACATTTACATTAGTTACATGTTGTTATTAAAAGTATTTTCCATCCATCCCACTTGTTTTCAAGCCGGGCTTGTTTATCTCAGCAACGAGTCAACAAAAAGACAGCCCATCCCCAGCAGCCTAGTTTCCAGCCCATCAACAACAGGGGCCCTAACTGTAGGCTGCAGTGTATGAAAGCAACTGATCAGACACAGTAAATCCTTTGTTGAGCAAGGGCCAATCAAAAAAGTTAATCTACAGTAAAGCTATATTCAGTGGTGATATGTACAGCCGTTTTAACTAGATGGAAAGACAGTGCACACTGTTTGTTGCTGAGCAGCAGCTGTGTGTCTCCACATTTGTACAGATGAGTAAACACTTTATCATCTCAGTTTGAAGGCAGCTGCATGGTGAGGAGGGTCTGCCAGCCCCGTTAAGTTATCTCTATTGATTATGACACGCAGGCCTTGTATCTGCATTGTGAAAAGTTTGATTTGATAAATCACACCAAATGAAGCTTATAAAAGAATATGCATGGCCAGTTAGTACACTACGTTATCAAGGAAGTTGGTTCTTTCTAAATAATAACCTGACACTATGGTTAAATAACATGTGTAAACTTAGCACTACACTTTTAACGCTCAATTTACCTGATTATATTGTAACGTAAAAATTGTTGTGTAGTTATAAGAATTAAAAAAAATCTGATAAATAATAAAAATAAGTGTATTGATTCTCCTATACCCAACTCGAGCAATCAGTGTTGAACTTTATGTGTCCAAATGTAAAAAACACTGCACCATTGTTATTCCACCTTAAAACAGCATGTAATTTTAAGACAAAACTGTATAGCGTTTCGGCATACATACATGATGTGCAAATAAGAGCCAATACTACAGTTAATACCTAATATATATATATCATTCCAATAACTTGTATATAGACTTGTACTGCACTATTCCACTTCATCACTTTATTTTATTTTATAACTATTTTTCTTTTTGTATTGCTCTTGCTCTTATTGTTATTATGTTATTATGTTGCATTGTTGGAGAAGCCTGTGAGTCACAGAGTAATTTTGTAGTTGGAAATCTTATGTCACAGGCTGTGACATAAGATTTTCAACTACATAATTACTCTGTAGCTATGTCAGATTGACAATAAAGAACCTTGAACCTTGAACCTTGAATGGACTTTAGCCATGCATTAACACAAACTAATTTATACACTGACAAGGTAATTAGTTAATTACTGAACTTTAGAAGTGCTGCCACTTGTATTTTGTTATTTGTGTACAAAGCCAGGCTTCCAGCTGCTGGCTGTAGCCTTGTTTTTAACACAACAAACAGGAGTGTTGTCCATCCTCTCATCTAACTTCAGATGAGAAAGGTATTTATTTGCTCTTTTAATGTTTGGTCTACAAGAAAAAAAAGTTTATAGAAAATAGTGGGGGGAAAGACATTGGAGGTCTTCAATAGTCTTTAAATCGTCGGTATATTGTCTTAAACCCAAGGATAACAACTGTACCATAATTTAACAGATAGGTGAATTTAATTAACCTAGTGTAACAAATCTAAAATTAGCACCAATAAGCTGCATCTTTGTGTTTTTCAGATCAGTCATAACACGCTGGTGGAAATGTTGGAATTCCCATAGACTGAATGGGGAATACCGAAGGTTTCTGAATGGATTCCCGCGTGTTCCCGTATCCCTGGATACCGTGAGTCAGGACTTGTATGATGTCATGTTAGGGTTTGTGTAACACGTGGAAAAGCCAAAAGCGCGCGTTTTTTTAGGGGCGTGACCAAAAAACAACTATTTAGCAGAGGGAGAGAAGCGGGGGCTATCACTTTCCGTGGGAACCAGAAAATACCCACAGTTGTAAATTAAGATAAAGCCCTTTATTGCCACAAGAATATAAAGCTTAACCAGACAGTGCGAATTACAATGTAGGCAAACACTCTTTATGGTGTTTTATTATGAGGTGAGTAATGTCTCAATCTCACTACTGAAAATAGTTCAGGACTTCCCACGGTCTTCAGGAACTTTTAATAGTCTGTGTGTTGGGGAATAAGTAGTTCCATGTGATTATATAACGTTATAAATGTGTCGGTTTAAGTAAAATAAACATGTAATTAAATTACAGTAACGTATCAAAAGGCTGGTTTACACAAAGGGGTTACATCCAATTATATTCTCGATATAAATAACATTTATTATTTTTCAACCTAAATTCTAGTCTTACGCTACTTGGTTTGTAGGCTTTTCCAATGTGTTGCCCAGTTTCAAACATTTGTGGAGGACGTTTTGGCACAATTAGTTAATGTAGTTAAAATAGTGACAATTCTTAAGACCTTTAGGTTCGTAGTAATCTGTAAATTACATTTAAAAAATAACCATCCCAAACTGTATGCACCACATTATAGAATATAAAATGTTCCATTCATTTTCTGATGTAACATCATTTTCTGTAACACAATGACAGCCTTTTTTAGAGAAGTGTATATCTATACTAAAGAACCTCAAACAAATACATACAGTTGACTGACTCAAAGTTCACCATCTATTTCTATTAAGTTTTCCTCACTATAACAATGTGTTACCTCATAATAAGTGGTAAGATAATGTAAATTAAGCTTATATACACAAGGCAAAATCTCACAATCACACCAAGTGATGTTGACAAGGAGTAATAAGGAAACAAAGACTGAAGTTAGCAGGTGTAAAAGTTTTACATTTCAAGAGAAATTGGCTTATTAAAGGGAAAGCAGAGCAGCGCTACCAAATAAATTGCAGCATACACAAATAGGAAACAGGAATTGAGCAAACACTTTAACTGTACCATTTAATGTGTCATTGACTCCTGTTCAGCTCCTCAACCTATACTGCAGGAGTGCCCTCTTGTGGAGAAAAATAATGCAGTATATTTGCTTTTCCTCAGGAAATAAATACATATAAACTGTTCTTTTGTAATCAACCGGTATCTTTAATTAAGAGACCATTTCACATTGTATCAAACAAAAGAAAAATCATGGAAAACTTTATAGACAAAATTCAGTCTTGTGTTCATAACACATTTCTTTTTTTTTAAATAAATGCCATAGTTTTGCATCTTTAATGTGTGGGTGTGTTTTTTAACAAACAACCAACCATTGACAGATGGAAACCTTCAGTGTGAAGAAAGAAAAGTAGCACATTGAAAAATAGGCTGGTTACAGACAATCAAAAGCAGAAATCGTCACACTCCTTACTTAAAAAAAAAATAGCTGAAAAAGAGGAACTACTTACTATGTCAAACTACACGGTACATTCATTGACAAAAACTGGTGAGCTGGAATGCTGGGTGCCACGACTTTTTCAGTACTGACAGCGTGGACTACACACCCACTCAATGCATGTGAAAAGTACAATAACAGGTAAAGGGGAGGGACACTAAAATGCTTGATTGTTTTAAAAACTCATCAACAAAAAACACAAAAAGGCCACACGGCCTTGTTGAACCTCATCATTTTGAAACGGCCAACCGTTTCTCTTCAGCTCCCTTTGAACCTGACAGACGTTCCTCTACTTTCTGTCGTTAGATCTGGAGCGGCTGCAGGGAAGGGAAAAATAACATTAAAGTAAGCAAGAATTAAGCTGACCTTAGCTTTAAGCAGTACCGCAATCAAATAACAAAAAATATGACGGGTCATTTGGAAAGGCAAGGCATATTATAAGGTTTCACATTAAGCCGTCAAACATCTGTTAAACGAACTACATTTTTAGACATTGTCAAAATAAAGCAGTACCTTCTTGAGCGTGAGAAAGACCTTGAAGGTTTGTGGTTCCTTTCCCGGGAAAGGGACCTCTCCCTCTTCCTGTCTCTGGAGAAAGACCTGCAAGAAACATAACCATCCAGGTAAGTTAACATTTTTCATGTTTTATATATACACTAAATAATGTCTAATGATGGGGGCATGAGAAGAAAGTCAATTAATTAGAAGCTACCACTTGAGACTGCAGTTCTGAATCCTCAGACAACACACAATTACAGATGTAAAACAAATACATATATACCTAATTTGCATTATATAAAATAATTACAAAATATTTAATGTAGAATAAAACATTTTTACCTGCTTCGACTGCGGCTGAAGCTCCTCCTGCGTGGGGATCTGCACAAGGAAAATACAAAAAATTTAAAAACGAACAGATGAGCTAACCGGAGAGCTCCACACTATTCCAATCCTTTCTCTACATGGGCCTCCTTCAACACAGCCCATGGTCTATCTCAGTCATTCAAAAATGGAAATAAATCACTGGGGTGTTTTTCCAGGAACACAAATATCTCAATCATAAAATATAACTCACTGACAATGGACCTAGTGCATAAAGATGGCAGGTGCTTTTTAATAATCTTTCACTTATTCCACAGTGCCGCGCGCATCCTCAAGTAAATGTAGTGAGAATAAAATACATTTTACATTTTAGATGGTAGAGTAGGATGTGTTGTACAGTTTATATATAAAATGTTGTCTGAGACTTAAAATCATAGCAAAATGGAAGTAAGCCAACTAGCAACACGCTGCACTGTGGATTGGCTAAGGTGTGTGGATACTAAGAACCACACAGAGGCCACCATCTGTATGAAACTGGTCCACTGCATCTAAAAAGGAGAGCGTTAGGTATTGGAAGCTGGTAACAAAAAGAATATACTGGTCAATGGAAGTAAGTCTTGAGAAACAACCAGGCTAAGATCTGCTAAAAACCAACCATACAGCACAAAACACCGTTTTAAACACTCATTGGGGGGGTTGAGGAGAGTTTTTGTGTGCCTTCCTAATTCTGCTCAGAGCCCCAGACATACCACATTTTTTTCTATAATCTAAATCTCTGGAAATGTGAAATTCCAGACTTATGTTTGAAATAATAAAAAAAAGAACAACCTTTCGACACCAGCTCTTCACTTTCAAAACTGTAATCAGCAGTGTACTGAATGAAGCAGGAAAACTTACTAGTATTTTTGGTTTTCAACAAGCTAGATATGACGAAAGGGAGGCAGACTGCCGGCCGGGTAGGTAGGTAGGTAGAATAGGCTGAATAGGGCTGGCCAGATGCTGCAAGGTGATTAGGTGGCCGGCAGATGGGGGCTGGCTCTGGCTTTTTTCCTGCTTTAATTGGTTAGCCGTAGGCTGCTGTTGGTTGTAGACTTTTGGGTACGTAATACGCTGATTGGTCGGGAATGTGAGGTGGGCCGCTGGCGTTTGGATTAAGGTTGAAGGAGGAGGAGGTTGAGAACGGCATGCTGAGGAACCAATGGGTTGGTGCAACTTGACGACTGGCCATGCCTGGGTCATGTGACAGCACCAGCCAAGCTGATTGGTGCACGATGGTCAGCAGTCACATGATGCTGAAAGAGGACTAGTTGATTGAGGATGGTGAGAGGAGGCATGGTGACGGCTCTGTAACGGGTTTCATTCTTATTAATATAGATGAAAAAAAAAAAGCATCCTCAAACAAAAGGTAAAGAATGCATCACATTTGGCACTTTACCCCCCCCATATTTAAAACAGACTATATTTTTCTGACATAGGAGTTGCTTAATTTAATTTCACAAACCGATTCTGCCATTTTTAAGCAGTTAAAATGCACTTACATTTTGAGAGTGCACAACATATTATAAAAAGAAGCATAGAGTAGAAGTAGAAGTTTTGCAGGCCAGATTTTAAGATGCTTTTAGCAAATAAAGAGACTTCCCTGAATAACCCTAGTATACAGTCCTATTCCCATGCCATTCTTCATTATTTGGTTATGAATGTCTATCTGCTTGGCTCCCTACATAACATGACCAATAATATAAATGAAAATGAAACTACCACAAATGTATAAATCAGCAGAAAAGATTACAAACACTAGAAATGCCCAGACTGGAAAACACAAGCAACTACCAGGAAATATACTGTGGGTAAGAGAGTGTACGTCACAGAAATCTGGGCATTGTAAAATAACAACATTGGTCACCTTCTTCTGGCTGGTGGGCTACGACGCCTGTTATCGTCTCGGTCTCGAGGACGCCTGCTCCATGGTGGGGGAGCGCCCCGGGTGCGACTGCGCTTCTCACCATTGGACAACTCCACTCGCACCCGGCAACCACACAACGTCCTGTATAAAAAATTTAAAAAAACAGCCATCAGTCATGATTGCAGCTGCATCAAGATGGACTTGTACCTCCAGTGTTGGCCACTTCCTCTGTAAAATGAGTTAAGATCGCTGCCTACCTTCCATCAAGCTCACGCACTGCATCAGTTGCATCTCTGGGATCTTCAAATTCTACAAATGCAAAGCCTGGAGGGTTCCTGGCGACCCAAACACTGCGGAGAGGACCATAGTAGCCAAATGACCTCTCTAACTCTGTCTTGTTTCCATTGTTGCCCAAATTTCCAACATAGATTTTGCAGTCGAGAGGACAGTCACGATGCATGACTGGATCTGAAAAAAGAAAACAAAGATGAGAATATTAATAATGCAACAGTTTAGACTTTAGTGAATGGTTTCTTGACAACAGAACCATGAAAAATGTATTGTCTCTCTACATGATTATATAACAATAGTTCGGAACCTGGACAGACAAAGACGTCTATCACCCTGCATCACAACAGGACCCATAAAGGGCCCAGGGTGCAGCAGATAAACACTTTACCATGCACTAACGTTTTCTGTTATCTTATGGCTTAAGCTTAAACAAGCAGTCTAAACTAACCTAGCGTGTGATGGGAAAATAAATGATAATGTTAATGATGATTTCAGGTTATCGTAACTGTTTTACTGTAACACAAAACGTGCTGAATGTTTACAATATGTTCTACATGCTTAAGTACTTGGAAACGGAAATAAGCTTGGCCTAGAATCTGACAGTATGCTAACTTTAGCTTCACTACAAATAGTATTCATGGAAGTTTAGCTACCTCCTAAATAGGGCGAAGAAGCCTTTGTTCAGTTGAACGGCTTAACGTTATACTGTTAGCTATGTTCTACTTTTAGAATGCGGTTAACATGAGAGGTTTCCAATATGTGAAGCTAATGCTAGCTGGTGGCTAGTTAGCCATAGCTAAAATGGCTGTCATATTTCTGAGGCCTAATGCTAATGCTAGCAGCACAGGATTCGAACAAAAGCTCAGGATAAACATAATGAAGCAGTAGGATAATGCAACGCAAGTAGGTCAAGTTTTAGCACCACACACAATTAAAAGTGTCGTTAAAATGTTACCTGTTTTTTTCTTACCTGCAATTAACCGGCACCGATTATCCGCTTCTCCGGTTGGTTTATTCGGTAGTCGGTGGAAAATGGCGTGACGGAAAATACGTTTGTAAATCCGGGGGGACCGGGAGGCGGGGTCAATTCATACTGATTGTATTATCACCTTCTCTCTATCCGTATTGAAATTAACAACATCGCAAAGCATACATACTAAACCACATAACAAGTGATCAATTGAAATTATCTTTTGAATAATTAGGCATGATAGTTTAAAGTTGCGATACCACCTTTGGCCACAGCGTGGGAGACCATTTAGTTGTGGTGCCGCTGTTTCAACATTCTGGCTAGGGTTATTTTTTGAATGCCCAGAAACAAAATTGCAACCAGTCTATTGTTGCACCCAGCTCAATCTCATTATAGACAATTATATATACCCACAAAAACAACCTCAATCAACTCAAGGTTTATGGGAAATGTACTTTAAACTCAAGTGTCTGGTATTTGTTGACAGTTCTGCATGGTGGGTTCCTATGCAGTCAATTTGCACAAAAGAAGAAATAAAAGCTACATTGGTTTACATTATTATCATTATCACATAATGTGCTTGAATAAAATGTTGCAGTAAACGTTATTGTGGTCATTATTATATATCACATTTGTATGAGTGTTCTTTGCTCTTTCTGTTGGCCCATCCGTAACATTTGACAATGCAGGTATTGAGAATAAAGTTATCATCTAAATCCAGGCTCTGTATGCACCTCTATTTGCTCATCGTGTGTAATGCAAGAGCCCCTGCCCTGAGTGACACCAAAACAATGTTTTCTCATGCAAATGTACCTCTATTATCATCTGCATGAATAAAGGTCAAGTTGTGCAGGGTTGAATGTAACCGAGAGTTGAGTTGTTGCCATCCCAGACTATAGTTAATATAGGATATTTGTTGGGCTTCTCCTTAACATCCTATCATAGCCAAATAAAGATAAACTTAGATTCAATGCAGAAGTACAAACCTGCCTACTGAAGTGGGCCGGTCGGACGATGTGGGCCGCTCGGATAAGTCACTAGCACCCCCCCCCCCGTCGACAATTTCCTCGCTGTATTTACTTGCGGCACCGAGGTGGGCCGCTCGGATAACTCACTAGTGGGCCGGTCGAGAGTCCCGGGCTGATTTGTAGTCCCAGTCCGCCCCTGCATGCACACAATACCTAACTAATGTTGTTCACTAAACAGTAATACCTGCATTGTTTTCAGTTTGGTTTGAGGTAGTTTGCTTTAATTCATCCATTGTTTACACCTGCTCATCCTTTTATGTGGACATGCATTGATGCATACCTTATAGTCCCCTTTCAAGTTTTAAACAGACGCTATTTGTTCCCCCTAAGGTTTGTAGAGAGGCTTTTTAGGCTCAATGGGGATAGAATGAACACTATTGTCCCACCTTACGAAAACCATGTGTAAATCTAACTAAAACAAGGGTATTCGTTAATTTACGCAAACGGTGTAATAATCGAGTAGCTGGTTTGCAGCCTATAGTGAGAACTAGCCGTGTCAGATGTGTCTTGGATATTATTATAACGAAGGTGCAAATGCTAAATAAAACGTATCTACTTTCAAAGCCACAACGTGTCGTGACTTGAAGAGGGATAGTAATTTATATTTTGCAATCTGAAGCCAGTAAAAGCCAAGATCGCATGCGTAGTGAATGAGGATTCCGATGAGCTTAATGTTGCATTGAAAACAACTGGGAATGTAGTGCTCCAACTGAACCTGTTTCCCAGTCCAACACACACTAGAGAAATGTAATTTCAATACACTCATAGTGGAGTGTACTAACGTGGGCCTGCTGTACTTCAGTAGTTTTGAGGTACCTTTACTATTACCTTTATGCCACATTATGCTTCTTCCAAACGACAATTCAGAGGGAAATACTGTAGTTATTTCTACACTATATTTATCCAACAGCTTCAGTTAATCTTAACAAATGAAGAAAACATGTGTAGAGAATGGACTGTAAGAGCAACACTTTGATAGTGTGTTTGAAGTGACTGTTTACACTATTGCATTAGTTGCAGTCAAACTTAATTCAAAATAGAAAAATAATAGCTTAGAGTACAGTTTCCTGATTATTCTTACACAATTGTACTTGCGCATACTGTTTAACGCTTCACCTTCACTTTTAAAACAGTATTTATTACAGTAATTTGACTTCCTCCACCGTTCTTTTTGTTGTCCGACTGCCCCTGAACGCAGCTGTATAAATACTACCCCGGTTACCGCCCACAAAGTAACTCAGCAGCCAGGTGACAGCGGAGACAGCAGCGACTCTACGCAGCCCAACACGCAACATAAAGACATTTGTCAGCGCCTAATTAAAGTGGAGTACTCACATATGTGTCCTCTAATATTGCTTTAACTTTTTAGTTTTACATTTACGTGATTTAAAAAGCATCTCCTCCGCTCGCTGTTGCAGAGTAGTTAGCTAGCAGATTGACGTTAGCTCCTCTGACAGAGACCCCAACGGTGGTTGTGTCTATCGACCTACAGCGTCAACATGTCGGACCCAGCCGTGGAGGTGAAGCTGGAGGTGAAACAGGCCAGCAAAGAGGTGAAAGAGAGCGAAAATGTAGCTGAAAAATATTCAGCTATGACCGTAAGCAAGAACAGCGAAATGAACATGGGAGACCTGTCGTCCGCCTTCAGCGCGGTGCCCACTCACAAACCTGTCAAAAAGGTAAGACAGTCTGAAAAATGTAGAGCTGCTTTTAGCTCTGTCAAAAATAATGTGTTCACGTTGTCTGTGCTGATTATGTTATTGCATGGAATCAGTTGTACTTGTCTTGTACCCCAATAAATTGGCAATAAAAGATGTACTATTACCTGCCCCCAGGTTACTCCGTTATATCTTCTATTCTTTGATAGATTAAGATAAAAGTCTATACCTTACTGGCAAGGTTAATACAGATAACATTCTTTTTTTAAAGCAATGTTACATCAAAGGACAAATATACACTTATAAAGATTCTCACATTGATTGTATTACGATTATTACAATAACAATGTATTGCATAACAACGTGGTGATACTGCAGTAACAGGACTATTAATATTGCATGTGGATTATGCATTTGTGCATATGCATCAAGCATTATTATAAACATGTTAACGTTCCTTTTATAAAACATATTTATTTAGTACAGGCAGGAGACACATAACTAGGACACAACAACAACAACAACAGGTAGGGGAGATGCCATTTCCATCTCTCAAAAGAATATAAATACAATACAAATAATACAGGAACATTACATTAATAGCCCTCATTAGACATGAAAATAAATAATGAAAGAAAAGAAGAGGACAGCAATAGTATCGCTTCTTTTTTTATTCATACCAGACAGTGAAGTAGTAAGAGGACACACTTGGCAGATTAAATGTTCTTACAATTACTACAAAATACATATACTATTCATCTATAATGCTTATTAAAAGAAAAGCCATTTCTCTTTTTGGTCTCACATGAATTGCTTCATTTTCTTGCCACATCCAACTCCAGGAAACAACTCAATGGTTTGCTCCATGTAACACTCACAAAAGAAAGATGTTAGCATGACGCTCTGTAGGAACAAGGAAGAGTTGCACTGTGAATTTCTCGTGCTTTACATTGGAAAATATTTGCACACCTTATTTAGGTTGGAGTTGACAAATGTGCACACTATTGTCTTTTAACATTGTGCAAGCACATTCACTGTGACCAGGAATCTGTCAGATGGGAGATTGATTAGTCAGCCTGGCAGCTTTACAATGGACTTTCACATCCTCATTCTCTCTGGGAGCAATTTAATATTACAGCAAACTATAGACAAATATTACTGCTACACCTATTTATAAGTTTTATGTAAATCTGGATAGTCATTTGTTTCTAGCTTTCATCTGTAATGTAAGGTCAAAGGTCGCCTGGCCCAGGGAGAGAGTGGAGGACTGTTTGCTTTGTCCATGTTGTTTATGTGCTCAAAAAGCCCAGTGGAAGCCATTTATATTCACAGAGCATGTGTTAAAGCGGTATGTTACAGGTGATTAGTCTCCTGTTTATGTTCTCTAGTTAATATTTAGCTATTGATGGTTGCAAGTTCAGTTGCAAGCTTAAACATGATTATCATGGAAGTGACTTTGGGAATTAGTTGACTCCAACTTTCTCTTTCAGCCAGGTAAAACAGAAGCACATGCAGCTTCAACATTATTGACTTAAAATAAGGTGCATTTGATTATGTAAGAGACCATGAAAAAAAACCCAAAAACCCATAAAATATCTGGTAAAAATCTGTAAAACAAATGCTTGAGTCTGCATAACGATACAATCAAGCGTCACCATTACATACCTTCACTTCATCAACCCAACGCATCATCGGCACCGTCACTTGGAATAAGGCTCGGAGTGTATAGGAAGCACTATGTTATGCAGGTAAAACATCAAATCTGTGGCTTTTTAAATAATCAGATAGCAGGAAACCAATATTAGTCTTTCAGTATCAGTCAGGCTGTAACCGACTCTGTCATGTCCGGGGGGAACTATGTGTGGTCTCGTCACCCCAATCTCAGGAAAACAGCTTCACATTGTTCTCTGTTGCCATGTCTGTGGTATGTGGAGGCTTTTCAATAGCAGGCCTAACCTAGAAACTAGACACGGACCTTATCAGGATGAAGAACCTGACTCTCCTTCAATGAGGAGGACAATGAGGCCGGCACACACTGTAGTATGTAGGCTCATTTATTAACGTGCTCTGATTCTTTATCTGTCCAAGGCTTTTTTAGGTGTTATTACTGAGACCAAAATGAGTTAACACTCTCACCTGGCACGGTGAAAAGTTATTTCAGAGCCTGCTGAGGTGTCTGACTTGTCCATTCTCTACACCGAGACTCAGGATAACGTTACAGCACCTGGAGATTTCTCACTGTATCATGTTGCTTCAGTGCCTGCAGAATCCCTGTCAACAAAAACAATCTGGTTACTGCTGTGAACAAAGTTAGCTGACTAGGCATAAAGCTATGCACACAAAACAAAAACCAGTTCTTTCTTTTTAAAAATGCAAACACTCACTTGCTTTTCATGAGCCTTAAGTAGCTGCTTTTTATAAAAATAAGAGACAAGCTGATATCTAGTTAGGCCAGTCACATAATTGTGGAAATAAATTAACTATTACAATTCACGTGCAACATTATCATTTGTATTTTATTTATATAATACATATCATTCTATTTTTGGCAATAGAGCAAAATAAGCTTACAATTTTCAGTAGGAAGAAACTCAACTCAAGCAAGGCAACAAAAAATAAAGAAGAACTGTCCAACATTTTTCTTTTAACTTAAATGGTTGTGCTGTGTTTTGAACTATACTCCGAGTCCACAGCTGAACCAAAGTATAACCCTCTTTGGACACAATACCTTCAAATGTAACAGGAGAATGATGTTGCTAATAAAAACTAGCATTCATTGCATTGATTTTGTTTTGTTGCCCCTGAGCCCTGTGTTCTTTGAGTCTGTGGTTGTGTTTGAATGTGTTGTCATCCATTGTGATGCACTGTTAGTACTCAGTAAATGAAACGTACTTGATGCTCATCCTGACCCGGCCTCTGGCAGTAGAGATATTGAATCTCAAGGGGACCTTTTATGGATAATTTAAAACAATTGTAATCTTTCATATTGCTTATGTGTGTCATGCCTATATTTATAATAGATTCAGTTATGCATTTACAGCTAGTCACATTACATTTTCTTTTTTTATACCAGCAAATCCAGTTTGTGGAGGACAAGCAGGAGTTCAGCAGGTTCCCTACAAAGGCAGGCCGTCGCTCCCTGTCCCGCTCCATCTCTCAGTCGTCCACAGACAGCTACAGCTCCGGTAAGAGAGAGAAAACCAAAAAACAACCTGTGTTATTTAAAAATGACTCCACCATAGTGGTAACAGAAAAGGAGATGATGCTGTATATGGAGCTCTCAGTTCTTCAAACCATATTTTCTTTCTTTGGTTTTATTATGTTTAGTTTTTTTTTTAATATATTTTTGTTCCAGCTGCTTCCTATACGGATAGCTCGGACGATGAGACTTCACCACGGGACAAAACTCAGGTCAACTCCAAGGGCAGCAGCGACTTCTGTGTGAAGAACATCAAACAGGCTGAGTTTGGCAGACGTGAGATTGAGATCGCAGAACAAGGTAAAACACAGCAAGTCAAAATTCACTTTTTTGTTATTATTGAATGTTACGTAAATTATTCTAATCCTGTCATTTTATATTTTAACTAACTGATCCAAGTGTTTTCATTTAATCTAATTACAGAAATAAAACCTAACAATTTGACCTCATCACCACACTTATAGAAAATGTAATAATATAATAAGAAAAAGTGGTCTTTTATCCAGCTATATTTTCTTAAACTCAGGGTACAGAGTTTGAGCATTGTCTGCTGTGTCTCCCACTCATCACTTTTTTTTAATGTTGGCTCGTTTTCAGATATGACGGCGCTGATCTCTCTCAGGAAGAGAGCACAGAGTGAGAAACCGTTGGCAGGTGCCAAAATCGTGGGCTGCACTCACATCACCGCCCAGACTGCAGTAAGACTCTCTCTGACTTTGAGCTTCAAAGCCGAAGCAAAGGCTGCCGTGTGAAAGTGCCTCTTAATCAGGAGAGCGTTTTAGATCCATTCTATTCACATTTTCTGAGTGCTGTGGAATGTGTTTCCATAAAATACACTATCTGGCTGTGTTTCGTAAAGAACATCATCAGCCACCGACAACCAGTTGATCCAAATAAATCATAATCCAGGCCTGGTTCATCGTAACCTTCAGTGTTATTGAATAATACACATATAAATATTGATTTGCAGTCTGTTTGTGATCAGGGACTAGCTCTTATTTGACCGTTTGCTTATACTTCCCTCTGTGTTTCAGGTGCTGATCGAGACTCTGGTGGCTCTCGGGGCTCAGTGCCGCTGGACTGCGTGTAACATTTACTCCACACAAAATGAAGTGGCTGCTGCTCTGTCAGAGACCGGTAAGCAGGAGAGAGGCCGGCGAACAACGTTTAGTTTTGGAGCTCAAACACCAGGGAGTGAGGAGGATTGTGATTTGGAATAGAGGCAACATCTCACCAGAAAAAAAGGACATCCAAAAGTGCTTGAATCTGTTGTCCTTTCGATATTTTTTTACTTAAGGCTAGAAAATAAGGCTGTGTCCTGTAGGCCACATGCCTTGAGAAAGTGAAAGATTAAATAACTTTGATCCGTGTCTCAAACTATGACTGTTGGCTCCTTGTAATTCATAATCAAAAGTCCTTTTTAAAAGTCCTTGAATTCGATTTTTGGGAAAGCAAACACCGAGTTATGAACCTCCTTTTTGCATTGCTTTTTTATTAAGAACAATAACATGTTTTTACCAGAACCTCTGATCAGCATAAGGTGCCGTTGTGTGCTTTGCCATGTGATAGATAGATAGATAGATCGTACTTTATTGATCCCAAATTGGGAAATTGTTTTTGTTACAGCAGCATAAAAGGCATTTTACAATAAAACAAAATATACAAGAATAGAAATAAAATAAAATAAAATATAAAATAAAATATAAAATATACATGTCAAAATACAAAATAGAAAATATACATACAGATATTATATATATATATATATATATATATATACAAATATATATATATTCAAAATATATGGAATTATGGAGTATTAAATATGAAACAGATTATGTGTGAGTAAAATGTACAAGGTGGTTTTATTCCAAGAGAAACTCCAGTATGGAGCAGAGAGTTCTCTTCCAGCCAGAGGTGATTTGTTGTACAGAGTTATTGCAGTGGGTAGGAATGTTTTCCTGTATCTGTCCTTGAGACAGGGGAGCTGCAGCAGTCTGTTGGAGAAGGAGCTCCACTGACTGTCCAGCTGCAGGTGGAGAGGATGGGTGGGGTTATCCATGATGGACAACAGCCTGTTCAGTGTCCTCCTCTCCACCACAGCTTCAAAGGGTTCCAGCTTGATGCCGATGACAGACCCAGCTTTCCTGATCAGTTTATTGATCCTGCTGGTGTCACGGGCTCTGATGCTGCCCCCCCAGCAGACTGCAGCAAAGAAGAGTGCACTAGCCACCACAGACTGATAGAAGATCTCCAGCATCTTACTGCATACGTTGAAGGATCTCAGCTTCCTCAGAAAATAGAGTCGGCTCATCCCCTTCTTGTACACAGCGTCAGTGTTGATCCTCCAGTTCAGCCCATTGTCTAAGTGCACTCCCAGGTACTTGTAGACCTCCACAACTGCCACATCCTCTCCCAGAATGCACAGGGGCAGAGGAGGAGATGTCCTCTTCCTCCTGAAATCAATGACCATCTCTCTGGTCTTGGCCACATTCAAAAGCAGATGATTTCTTCCAGTCCACTCAACAAAATCACCCACCAGCGCTCTGTACTCCTCCTCCCGTCCATCCCTTATACACCCTACCACTGCAGAGTCATCCGAAAACTTCTGCAGATGGCATGACTCTGAGTTGTATAGAAAGTCAGAGGTGTATAAGGTGAACAGGAAAGGAGACAGCACAGTCCCCTGTGGGGCTCCAATACTACCAACCACCACATCAGACAGCACACTGCCCAGCCGGACGTACTGTGGTCTGTCCGTGAGGTAGTTAGTAATCCAGGAGATGGTGGACGAGTTTACCCTCATAGCCTGCAGCTTGTCACTCAGTAGCCGAGGCTGGATCGTGTTGAATGCACTGGAGAAATCAAAAAAGGTGATTCTCACAGTGCAACCCGATCCATTCAGGTATGAGTGAGCACGCTGCAGCAGGTAAATAATGGCATCGTCCACCCCCAGGTGAGGCTGGTAGGCAAATTGCAGAGGGTCAAGGAATGATCTCACCTGCGGTCTGAGATGGGCCAAGACCAGTCTCTCAAGCACTTTCATCACATGAGATGTGAGTGCTACAGGGCGATAGTCATTGAGCCCAGAAGGAGTTGTTTTTTAGGGACCGGAACAACGCATGATGTCTTCCACAGCACCGGGATGGTCTCCAGGTGCAGGCTCAGGTTGAATATATACTGGAGAACAGGAGCCAGCTGGCGTGCACAGGTCCTCAGGACCCTGGGGCTGATACCATCAGGGCCAGCAGCCTTGCCTTGGTGGAGTTTTTCCATCTGACTCTGGACCTGTCCTGTGCTCACAGTGAAGCGGGGGGGGGGGCTTGATGGCAGGGGGGATAGAGGAGGGGGAGTCTGAGGCAAGATGAGCAGAGAGGGGGGGGGGGGTCAGCGGCAATGTGAGCAGAGGGGGGGTGCAGAAGCCAGGCTGGAGGAGAGGTGTGAAGTGTAGGTGGTGAGCAGAGGGGGGATGTTGACGCCAGGCTGAGAGGAGGAGGTGAGGTGAGAAGAGGAAGTGGAGGAGACAGCAGCGGGCGGAGAGCGTATGATGAACCAAGGATACTGAAATGTTTAATAAGCTATTTAGTGAAAGAACAGCACTACTTCAACCTTTTATCTGTGGTTGCTATGTGATAGTTTAAGCATGTACTACATTTCCAAACTGAAGCTTTCATGATCAGACGAGCTGAGTGGGGGACAAAAGACTGCTCAGTGAAGATCATGCTGTTTCTGGGGGAGTTGCATTTGTTCCTACTGTAATTGCTTTGCACAAGTCGGGTCTCTGACACTTGATGACACTTAATGATGAAAACAATTTTCAGACCTGCACTGAATTACATGTTCATTGTTCAAAGAATTATGTTTCATTTTAAGTGCTTAGAATTTCGAACCAGATTGATCTGTTTCTTCTAAACAATTCAGTGTCACAGTCAGTGGCAAACCGTGTCTATCACAACTGGACCTTCTGTAGACACACACACACACACACATCCCACGCCGTTATAATGTCCATCTTTTCACTGAATTGTCGTCTTGAAAAGGGTACTCGCAACAATTCCGCAAAAACATAATCTTCACCTGTTGCACTTGCCATTTCAACGTTAAAAACAATAAAACGGCATATGAATTGCTTCGTCGCATTCATCTAGATCTTCTGGTCTCGAGCCAGTGAACTACCGGGCCTTCTAGAGTACCCTGGAACAGAGGGAAACTCTGAAAGAATACGCCCATTGGCTACAAATCAATATATGATTGGTTGATCAAACTGTCAATCCAAACGTATGCTCTCATTCAGTGCAACGGCCAGGGCCTTCTATCAAGGATATAGAATACCTTGGTTGAAGGATATTCTACCCAGAGACCCAGAACAAGATCTGATTGGTTGCATTTCTTTTCTAACACAAAACCACTGAAATGCGTAGTGCATGGACCGAGAAGGACAAACAAATCAATGTAACACTGTAATTTTACAGATCAACAACACAGATACGATTCTCTTTTATTCATTTTATATACATTTTATTTATATAATTAAATCGATTTTTTGTTTGTTTTATCAGAGTGTTCCAGGGAATTCTCTGAATACCTTGAAGGCCCTGACGGTTCGCCACTGGTCACAGTGCTTATAACATTGCCTTGATTCACTAGCATACGTCCAGATTTAGGAACTGTTTCTGTGATTGCCGCTTGTTGACAAATACGGTTTGTTTATGTAAATTGTGTTTCAGATGTGGCTGTGTTTGCCTGGAAAGGGGAGTCTGAGGATGATTTTTGGTGGTGCATTGACCGCTGTGTCAACAATGAGGGTTGGCAGCCTAACATGGTGCGTGGAAACGTTTGTTTTTCTACCTTTAATGAGGAGACAACACACCGTGAAATGTGAATGCTTTAGACAAGCAAATGCCTCACATAGACATACAATAATTACAGAGAAGCAGCCATTCTTTTCAAGTTATTTCAATAAGTAGCTCTTTTTATATAAATATTTGTCTCATAATAATTTGCTGTGTCATAACTCTTAGATCCTTGATGATGGAGGAGACCTGACACACTGGATGTACAAGAAGTACCCCAACGTATTCAAGAAGATCAGGGGCATTGTAGAGGAGAGTGTCACTGGGGTTCACAGGTGATTTACTGCTTAATAGGCTTCCCATAAAATATTAAGTGCAACACAGCGACACGCACCAACATGATGTGAAAGCTCTCTGCCTTCCTCTGCCTCTCTCCAGGTTGTATCAGCTGTCTAAAGCTGGAAAGCTGTGTGTCCCCGCTATGAATGTGAACGACTCTGTGACCAAGCAGAAGTTCGACAACCTGTACTGCTGCAGAGAGTCAATCCTGGACGGGTGAGGGAACTATAATGCATTTGTGAAATAGGCTCAGTAAAATGTGTTTATAAGTAGAAATGAACAAGTATGGTTTGAAATTAAAATATCTAACGTATACCCTTCCAAAACGTATGAGATAATGGTTTAAAAAAGACAATGGAAAACATTGGTTCAGCAAAATGGCTGCCATCAGACAGCCGGTTCATAACGGTCAATGTCACATCTCTGTAGCTTTTTAAAAAGCTGTTGCCCTTGTTAAGCTCTTTCGCCGCCAAAACCTAAGAAAAAAACCTCTGGGAAGACAACTATTGTGCTTATACCCGCCTGTGAATGATTTCCATGGCAGAATATAAATAGTCTACTAATCTTTAACAACGTCTGCTCATCGCCGTATCGGGTCAGTGCTTCCTACACTTACCGCTCATAATTTATTGCTGTTCCTTCTGATTAATAATCTGCAAGGTACGAGGTAAAGGTTAATATCTTGTAACAGGTGTTCCAATATGAGTTATGATACGAAATGTCAGCATCATCAGACCTTCAGATGTATCGCGCCGGGATATTTTAGGAACATAGTTACGACTTGTTATCACGCAGACATGTTATTTAAAACTGTAGAAAGTTATAATGATGCAGAACGTTTATTGTATATCTGTAGATAGATTACAGATTTTTGAGTCGTACAGATACAGATTGGCAGTTTCTCACTTCCACAGGAGAATGCTAATGTTATGTTTCAAATGTCTCTAGCTTGAAGAGAACCACAGATGTCATGTTCGGAGGCAAACAGGTGGTCATATGTGGGTACGGTGAGGTGAGATACTTATATCAACGTTAACATGCCACAATGATCTTAATGATGTATCTGTGAACACATTCATCATGATCGCACAAACACATGCTGTACTCATAACACACACAGCTGTCACCACAATTCATTGGATAGCTTTCACAGTATTATTTACTCTAATGACGTTAAAGGTCTAAAATGCAACATTTCTGCATTCAAATTCTAATAACGACTAGGTCTAGCCCATTCAATGTAAGGTCGCCTGAAATGGCGTTGAATCCTTTGAAAATGTTTCAGTGTCTGCAGAAGTTGTCATAATCCACTAAAGCCACATTTTATCGGTACATTTTTAGCATCTCAGTTATCTTTACCTATACATTTTAACCGAAGGGAGGATTTTAGTCATCCGACATTTGGATTTTAAGTTTCAGGGCTTGTGTTTAAATACTGAAAGGTTCAATTACTTTATAAAGGTCAGGGTAATTACTGGCATATGTATCTCTGCTGGTGATACAGTAATTAAATGTTATGTTTGCAGGTTGGAAAAGGTTGCTGTGCCGCCCTGAAAGCTCTGGGATCCGTCGTCAGCATCACGGAGATCGATCCCATCTGTGCCCTGCAGGCCTGGTGAGGAAAACAACAAGTGGGATGATGATCCAAGATGTGTTGAATGTCAAAGATATGTAAAAAGGACAGACAGCAGTATGGGTGAACAAGCACAGCCAGCTAACTGTGTTCTGTTAATTATATAACAGGCATGTTGTGAAATAATGAATAATTCATTTGAAACTAGAACATACTACATTGACCCAACATGGACTCCCGCTCTTCAGATGAAATATGATGTTGTCAATAAATAATGGAGAGTTTTCTCCCTGAGGCTGAATGCTGAACCTCTTCTTCCTTTGACAGCATGGACGGATTCAGGGTGGTGAAGCTGAATGAGGTCATTCGTCAGGTTGATGTCATCATCACTTGCACTGGTAACCCCAATTTAAACAATGCAGATTTACTCATTGGGATGCACGGATGTGGGATTACGTTTTCTCTTAGCTTTTTAATCTATAAATGCCTTTTTGTTGATTGTTCTTTGCACTGTTCCTTAAGCTGCTTTCTCCCTGCTGCATGCTAATGTGCCGCGTCGGTTTTGTATGTTCAGCTTTTATTGGAAATGCTCTTACAGTTAGTCTGTGTCGGGACAGAAACCAGATTAAGGTCTCTGTGTGTCAGAGGATGTAAATTGATTAAAGGTTCTTGATTGTGTCTTTCTTTAGGGAACAAGAATGTGGTGACCAGAGACCAGCTGGACCGAATGAAAAACGGCTCTATTGTCTGCAACATGGGCCACTCCAACACTGAGATTGATGTGGTAAACTAGCTTCTAAAAATAGAAGAATTCAAAGTTCAAATGTATCCTCCACAATGGGTTAATGCATAATGAAACAGTGTGGATCCACCTGCAGTGTCTTTAGATGTCAGGGCTGATCTCCTCTCCTCTTGCAGGCGAGTCTCCGGACCCCCGAGCTGACCTGGGAGAGGGTGCGCTCTCAGGTGGATCATGTCATCTGGCCTGATGGCAAGAGGGTCATCCTTCTGGCTGAGGTAACTGGTTCGCCTTGCAACCAAATGTTATGCTTGATTACAGATTTTGAACATGTGATGATTTGTCATTTCTGTTTTTTGTTCACATACTTAACCGTTTAAAACCACTTTTTTTTTCACTTTCTATCTGTCTGGAATGTTCCGATTAAAGGCCTGTGTCTTTAAGCCTCCTTTCTGAATAGTTTGGTCTGCTCTGATTGGTCAGTGTCTCTGGGTCTTCCACATTTGCGTGCAGCGTTGAAGACTATAACGACAGTGTAGCTGCACTTTCTACCAAAATGAAAAGACCACTGCAGCATTATCAGTTTCTCTGGTTTTCCTAGTAAAATTAACATTTTATTTTATTTTATTCTATAAACTAATGACAACATTTTGCTGTGTTGGAATTCAACAAACACTGGAATGAAATGGCTGCTTAATGTTTAGAGATTGAGATTTAAGAAAAATATGCAGTGGTCTAATTTTTTCCAGAGCTGTATGTATCCTTCTGAGATCACAACCTCATGGAAGTCCTGATGGCACGTTTAAAGGCACAGTTCTTTGTGTACAGACTGTGTATTTCTCTGTGGGTTTAGCGTGTCAATACCTTCACAGTATTTATACATTTAAAATACATGAAAATCTTACTTTTTATTATATGGGACCTTTTTAACTTTACTTTGTTAGCTTCATTTAGTAGCTGAAACAGAAATACAAATTGAACATAGTACACAATATGGTGTACACAGATCCACTATTTATTATTAATCATTTTAATCAGTTTATTGGTACTGAGAAAAAACATTATTATGTTGGAACAGCGATATTAATGCATGACTGCTTTTTAAAGCGTGTGTTGTTTCTCTAACAGGGACGTCTCCTTAACCTGAGCTGCTCCACTGTCCCCACCTTTGTGTTGTCCATCACAGCCACCACTCAGGTAACATGTTGGTACTACCAGACAAATAAGCTATACAGCTGATAAAGACACAGTGGTTATTTCTTCCATCCTCTCACAGGATCATAGATACATTTATTGATCTTCAATCAATTTACAGTGCATCCATTTTCAAATGTATTACTCATCCATGTTTGTGTTCAGGCCCTGGCCCTTATAGAGTTGTACAACGCTCCTGAGGGACGATACAAGCAGGACGTTTACTTGCTCCCCAAGAAGATGGGTAAATATAACTTAATACTTAACCTTGACGTGCAGTTTTTAAAGTATTCACAGTTTACACTCAACATTAATCATGGCTGGGCTGTAGCACTGGACTTATTTATTTTTAATCCGCCCTGCATTTTTTAGATGACATCATGTGATCGTGTTTGTATCCCTCTTTCTTACTAAACCGTGTCTGTATGTTTCAGATGAGTACGTGGCCAGTCTGCATCTGACCACTTTTGATGCTCACCTGACGGAGCTTTCTGATGATCAGGCAAAATACCTGGGCCTGAACAAGAACGGCCCTTTCAAACCCAACTACTACAGGTACAGTTCTACAAAATGATGCAACTATGTAAAACATTATGGTAACATTTTGGCAAAAAAGCAATTTTTAAATAAACTTGTTCTTTGTGTTCACAGGTATTAGTCTGCAGGGAGCCATACTTCAGCTCGCTCAAATGTAAACGCTACAATCACCTTTCCATAAGACAAGAACAAGATTTATGTATATTGTATTTTATACTCTTCACAGGACGCATAGGTTATATTAAGTTCTATTTTACTGACCACAGCAAGTTTTGCTCCACTTGCTGCTTCCTACAGACCTACACATGGCACTTATCTGCTGTATAGTGGGATTTTTATTTTCAGGTGCATCTGTTCACAAACCTGCTGACTCCTGGCTACTATAGAGTTCTGTCTTGGATATTAAATGTATCAATATAGTGTGCCAAAAGACTGTGACGGGGAAGGGTTGTAGTTGTTGTGAAATGTTAATGGTTAGTTGTGGAATCAGTTAATCCTGCATTACGCGATACTTTTAAAATGTAAGCTCCTCAAGTTTTTAGATGCTTTTAATTCCAGGTTTTGGCTCTCTCAACAACATCTTGTATGAAACTGGTGGCAGTAATTTCCAGAAAATAAATCGTAGACAAGCCTTGCTTTCCATAAAACACCAGAGAGGCATTTTAAACTCCTGGCTGGGAAAGAAAGTAATGCTCCAACTGTTTCTCTCAGGAGAAGGGGAAATAAAACACCTTATATTGTCAGGGGGCGAGAAATTGAACTAGGAGTTGCTGTTCGTCTGCTAGATGTTTAAGTAAGCAGTTAAATGAGCCATAACAACTAGATCACCTGATTTGTAAAACAGTCTTTGAGTTTGTTTCTGCCCCCCCAGTGGTCAGATATCGCTTACTACAGCTTTAACGATTTCTCTCTGCTGCGATGTGGCAGCGCTTGCTTAATTCACACATTCCATCCATAAGTACAGAAGAAATATCCTTTTCTCTCTCTGTATTATCGTCCACATTAATCCTAACCATCAGCACATCCGGCCAAAAAAGTAACTTCAAAACTCTTATTGTTATTGCAAACAAAACAAGTATTTTTTTTTTATAAAGTTGTGTCCATCTATGAGGTTTGTGTGTCTGGTAAGAATAGTATCTGTACCTCAGGGCATTCAAATATCTACAATTGTTTGTAAATTAGATCAGCACTGTCTGACCTTGCGTTCACATCTAGTGTCACTGTCACTCTCTTGACATTATTTACAGAATAACTAGAACAGGTTTAGATATTTTTGTACTCTGTCACCTGTTCAATGACTATTGCAGAATTGTGTATTCTGTGTGAAGCGAACACAACAGAGAGTGATGTTGAACAGTGTTACATACCGTATGTTTATTCTACATATGCAACAACTCTCTCTGAAGGGCAACATTGAGATTATTGTTAATTTGTCACAGGATTCTGCTCCTAACAGAGGATATCTGTTGAATCCACTAATGCTCAGACATGGATAAGCTTTGTTGTCAGCACATTTACCTAGACACAAGTTACCTTTACCTTCTCTGTTATCTTGCGATATTGCACCATTATTAAAGCTATTGTTAAAACACAATATGATGTTTTTTTCAGCCGCTTTTTATCGTTCATAAAGCTTAGGCAGAGTTGTGTGAGGCTTGTTAAATGCACACACTTATTACCCCACCTTCTTGATATTCACTTTCAACTATTTTGAATAATGGACCACTTAGTTGAGTGGCTCTTTTTTAATTCAAACTATATAGTGTGCAGTTAGTAGTTGAGTCTCTTCAACACATTTTAACAAGCTGTATATGATGCTGGTAGTCTGTGGGCCTGCCGAGGGTTCGGCACCTTGTTACCTTGTTATAGTGTTCACATGTATTTACTCAGTATCCTGTTTTATCCCCCTTTTTTAAAACTTCAGGCTCCAGCCAAAGTGACAGGTTATTTCTGCTTTGAATTTTATTTTTGTATGAGTTTATTGTTGTCACTTACTCCTGCTTTAAAGGTAGGGTAGGTACGTTTGAGAAACCGGCTCGAGATCGCTAGAATTTGAAAATACACAACCGGAGAAAATCTGCCACTTCCTTATAGAGCCCCTCCTCCAACACATACGCTCGCGCACATGACCAATGAGGGCACAAGATAAGTTTGTGCACAGATGGAAGGCTGACAGGCAGGTAGGCCATCCAGTTATTTTAGCCGGGCCGGCTAAAATGATTGGTCGTGCTTTTTACAGTATTACGGCTTCCACAGATGACATTTTTTTATGGATTTTTTGTCAAAGCACTTAAGATATTTATTGCTATCGGGATGTTAAGAGCATTCCATGGAATATAACAAAAAGTGTATCTCGAGCCGGTTTCTCAAACTTACCTACCCCACCTTTAAAGGAAAACTCCATCCACAAAAGTACTATTTGTAAATCAATTACTCAGCCTGTTACCTCAAATTCTAGAGTTTTTCTTGCATGTATCCACTGTAACCTATATCAAAAGACAGAAGAAAGCTCTTGTTAAATAGATGTGAATGCTTAACAACACCGAAAGTATTGTTTTGCATTCATTTTTACTAGAAGCTTACTTTTAAATATTTAATGCAATGGAAAAAAACAATTTAATAGGCTGAGTTATTGAAATACAAAGGGTTTTCCTCTAATGCTTTAGTATCTCAAAGGATGCTAATATGAAGTGGCAGCTTTAAAGCATCGGAGCCGAGGACACTCAGTGAGGACATTGTCAGCAAGACGAGCGCTGCCTGTAACCATGGTTACTGGTCATTTGACAGTGCCTTGTGACTCACTTAGTAATTTATATTCAGACATGTACGACTGTGTTTTTCTCCCAGTATAGTAATGTGCCCAACATTTGTTTTTCAGAATTATACAGTGATAGCTATGCAGCAAAACACACTCAGTTGTATTCTGTCAAAGGTATTTTGCTCAAATATTATGCATTACTCAAGACGACAACTAATTTTAGACATTAGTGGGCAACATTTTATACTCTGTTGTATTTTGATGTATGTTTCATATCTTTTAACAATCAGGCAAAAACACATTTAGTGGTCTTTTCATAATAGCACTTAAAAATGACTTTATTAATGTATTCCTTTTGTTTAGCTAATAACAATCATTTGAACATAGTTGTATATCTGTTATAGAGACACATGAATGTGTTATTACTATAGCAAAAGTTTGACTCAAAGTCAAAAGAAAAAGAAAGTGTACAACTGTGATTTGACAGTTGTACATTGTTGCCGGTTTGATGTTTTTAATGTGGAGACGAAGCACTGTAAATTATAAGTTTTGAAGTTGGCCTATGTTCTCATCACTATCTGTTGCTCAGTTTAAAGAACCTCATTCCGGCAGTAGGCAACATATTACATTTCTGTGCACAGTTCCCTTTAATAAACTGCTGTTAAATTTGAAAATGTCTCTGATGCATCATTTCACAGACCCAGGTCAAATGCATTGCCTTTAAACGACATGTCACACTTATAAGTAACTAAGTATTACATACAGTCATCACTCGATAACAGTCTTCGACGCCCAGAAGTCCCCAAAAATGCACTCTTTGTAGGTGTGTACACATAAAATAAACATCACTTTCACTTTATTTTGTCTTCATTGTACATGTACACACACAGAAATGGATATAGTACAGCTAAAACAACAACACATATGTAAGTTTATAAATCTATGTAAACAGAAGTATTTTATCACACTTAATCTTAAAATGTACACCTTCAATATAATGTTAATATAAATAATACAACAACACAAACAGTAAGACATTAGTGCAAATGTTGGATTAAATATGGATTGATTGAATGCAACAGGTTGGAGAACCTAAAGGACATCAATAAATGCGTGAAAAATAATCACAATAATTAAATCACACATAAAACAAAGGGCATAGATCATATCCCCCCTCCCCTTTTAAACGGTAGTTACGTTAAAGAGTGTACCTTACATAAAGATTGAATTAAATATGACACAACAGAATGTCAATTCCAACTCTCGTAGATCGACTCAGTCATCTCGCGAGAAGACACTGCGCCCAAATGGACGTCGGTGGGAACAGTAGTGGGCTTCCTGTAAACAATAAACAGAGAGCTATGTTACCTAACAAAAGCAGGGGCGAGTTCACCCGAAACCCAAGAAAAGATTCATCAGAGGTACGTAAAAATAATTGTTTTTTTTAATTTACAGCAAACTAATCATTTAGAGACGAGGCTGCTGCTGCTTCTGTACCACATAACGTTAGCTTAGTTAGCTCTGTCAGGCTAGCTTTACTGTTTGTTCTGACACGGAGACACAAACTAACAGCAGCAACTGAGGCTCTTAACATCTTTGAAATAATATGCCTCTGTTTGTGCAATACTCCCTTTGTAGCTTAATTTATGCAATGTTGAATAGTAGTGTAGCTTAGCAGGGGCTATCTAGCTGATGTTAGCTAGTACCAGGCCAGACTGAGCTGTCTGTCAGCGGCGACCTGTTGAGGCTTATTCTGTCTGCGGCCTGTTGTGTTCATGTGATTTAAAACCATGGAGCCCTCCTTTAAGCTTATGCCTATAAAGAAAACGAAGTTAGTCAGTGCTCCCTTGCCTGATAGTGGATACATTGCTGAATTTAACTGCGAGAAAACCACTTCTAGACTTCTTGTTTTCATGCGTTGACATCTTGTAATCATTTTGAATATTCAGAAAATAAATAAAATGTGAGCATTACAGATTAAACCATAAATATGATATGATTGAGAGGAGTTTCTCTTTGTGACATCTAATTGATACATGATTTCTAACAGGGTTGAAAAAATTGTTCTTTCTTTTTGTAAAAATGCTTCAATGTAAAATACCGATTACAAATAAACGGTTTGGATTTATAATGTTGGTGAAAATATACAATCGTTTGTATCAGTAAACTAGATTGAATGAAGTCATCAAAAGGCCCCTTTTTATTGTTTTTTGTTTTGCATATCATAGTTTTGGACTATTCTTTGTAATACCTAACGTTTGTAACCCTTCTTTCTGTTGGATTGTGTAATTTATAATTTTACTTTATATTGTAGACTATACAATAAACATGTATTGAATTCTATGGTCAGAGCTTGAAATTAAACCCAAGCCAAATGCTAGTTGAAGTGGCTCATAGTTGTTCTTAACTAAACAGCCAAAGAACAATGTTTATGTATTTAGTGGTTAATAAAAAATGAATATTTACTTGCCATTCTGCCAGTTAACAAAAAAAATATATACCGTGTTTGGTGCATAGGGGCTGTCGGAGTCTCCAGACCTGGAGTTTGAATATGCCGATACAGACAAGTGGGCTGCTGAGCTGTCAGGTGTGTGGTCATTACGGACATTGAGATTACCTGACTTTGTTTTTTGCTCTCCTGCTCTTCACTCTTGCAACATATTTCGTCTTATTTACATATTCTTTGTGAATGTTTCAGAGCTGTACAGTTACACCGAAGGACCGGAGTTTTCTCTCAATAGGCAGTGCTTTGAGGTCGAATTCAGAACACATGGTATGGAGTTCAACTTACAACACATCTTAATGACATTACAGCAAATCATTTATTACGTAAAATGAAGAAGGCATATGTGTGAAGTGAATTATCTCCACCTCTTTTGTTTCTTAGTTTCTGATAAGAGATGGACGGAGCTGGATGAATCTCAGCAGAGAGCTCACGCCATGCGCCTGCTGGACGGGCTGGAGATGATCGCTCGAGAGAAGAGGCTGAAGGTTGCCAGAGCCATTCTTTACATGGCTCAGGGTCAGTCAACAACACATCCCTTAACACCTTCTTAGTATTAATTAATATTGATTTAATTCAAATTCGAATTGATCAGAACATTTAGTTTAGTTTTTCTCAAAATATATGTGTTTCACCATTGCATTTTATTCTCTCTAGGAACCTTTGCAGAGTGCAGCTCTGAGGCTGAAGTGCAGCACTGGATGAGATACAACATCTTTCTGCTGCTGGATATGGGGACCTTCTCTGCTCTGGTGGAGCTGCTCAACATGGAGATTGAGTACGTTATCAATCATGCAGAGGCTATCCTAATTTAGTTTTGCCTTTTTTATCTACAAGGAATCATCTCCTTTTATAAAAAGTGATAACTCCTTGTAGGTTAGAACAATCAGCTTTAGTGTTGCCAGTGAGCAACACTAAAGCACACTGTTGGCTTTGCAAGGCTAGAAGTTACTAGATCTTCTGTTGTAAAATGATCTATCTGGAGAAGAGTTTAAAACACTTATATTCTCCCTTTCAGTAACAGCGCTGCCTGTAGTAATGCTGTGAGGAAACCAGCCATCTCCCTGGCTGACAGCACAGATCTCAGAGTGCTGCTCAACATAATGTACCTGATGGTGGAAACCATACAACAGGATGATCCTGCCGACAAGCCTGAGTGGAAAGTCATCCGGGAAACCTTCAGAGCAGAACTAGGTGAGTTTTATCGACGTAAAAACCTGCAGTCATGTCACCGATTTTAAAAAAAACATGCAAGGTGAACTATTTTAACTCCACTCCTCTAATCCAGGAGCTCCTCTGTACAACAACGAACCGATTTCCGTCATGCTCTTCG